AGCCTTCTGCCTCAGTTTCCCCATTGTGTTACTTCCTTTTGAACAGGAATGTTTCCCATCTGACTATTCCTGAGTCTGGCTATGACGTGGAAATTGTTACTGCATGATTGCTTGTCACCTCTGACTCTAACTGGAAGTCAAACAGAGTTAAGGATGTTTTATCCTGCCTAATATGTGCCCTTAGGTTTAGGCCTGAAGCACCAGTTTGAATGAGCTGGTAGATCAGAACACCCAGAAGATTAGAGAGAGGGGAAGTGAATGATTGCAGAGGTGGTCTGCCAAAGGAGATGGACAAGAATGAGGAAGCAGAAAGGGGTGTTGGTCTAGTTCCTGATGCATCCTGCCTGTTACTACCCCACTCTCTGCCTCAGTTTCCCCTTCTGTAAAATGAGAGCGTCTCAATCCACTTCCAGGTCTATGTCTGTGATCCTGAGGTGAGATTACAGTTCCACTGAAGTAGCAAAATATAATATATGATATAATATCTATATACACACACATATATACATATATATATCACTAGAAGCTTAATCTATCTGTCGAATTGAATGGGGAATTCTCTGATGGCAAAGATAAGTTTGAGTCCTTTTTGTCTCTGTGTGACCAAGGCCCAGCACAAGGCCTTGCAGGTCAGCAGGCCCAAGTCAATACTTCCAGAATTGAGATAAGTCCCTAGAGTTAGCTAACGATCACCTTTCTTCTCTTGGGTGTCCTGCCCATGGAATTTCCCTCCCTGGACCCCTTGCAGTAAGGAAGCAGGGAACCCAAAGGTCTTCTCTTCTGCCTGGCTCTTGAGCCTCAGAGGTAGGGTTGTGGGTTCTAGAGCAGGAAGAAACCTTGGAGAGCTGTCCTAGGTAGACCCCTGGGTTGGGACTGTGGCTGTCCACGTGGCCCATTCCTGCTGGGTGGAGGCACTTCATCTGAATCCCAGAAAGCCTTCTCTAGATTAAGAAAGCCTTGCTTCAGAATTCAATTTAATCTGACCTAATTGAATTGCACAAACATTTATTTGAAGCCCTTAAAAGTTTTCCAGGGCTGCTCAGCAGGGCCTGTCTGCTGATTCTGCACGTAGCCAGCAGGTGGGAGTAGTGAGTCACCAACATTTTTCTGCAGCTCTGTGTGTGTGTTTGTGTGTGTGTGTGTGTGTGTGTGTGTGTGCGCGCGCGCGCGCGCGCGCGCTCCAGCGCACACAAAGGAGGTCCCCAGGAGCCCCGCCCCATCCTCTGATGCTCCCAGGGGGCAGCTGTCATGATCAAGGATTTGCCCCCCTGTCTCAAATAAATAGCTGTCAAGACAATGCTTCTTGTTTTCCCTCGCTTCCTGCTCAGCCATGAAGAGACCTGTTGTTTCTCTGGCCAAGAATGTTTCTCCCCCAGGCCTCCTCCTCTAGCTCAGAAGGGAGGGATGTTTTGGGTGGGCTGATGCCATCTTTTCCGTCGGCTATTTCCTCCCACCCTCTCTTCGCCCTGCTGGCCGGATGCTGGATGCCAACCTGCTCCCGGCTAGTTAGATGCTCCTTCCCCTCCCCCATTCCTCCTCGGCTTCCCTGGCCCCTGGAGGAATTGGGCCTCAGCTGTTCTGCTGGAGAGAGTTGCCCGTTCTCCTGTTCTGGAGATCTGGATTCAGCCTCCCCTCCCTGGTAAAGCCTTGTGTGAGCACACTGACTTCTCCCTTTTCTGAGGGCATGGTCCATGTGGTATGGCAGAAAGAATTCGGGCCTGGCAGGCAGAAGACATGGATTCTAGTTCTGTGTAACTTTGGGTAATACACACCCCACTCTGGACCTCTATATCCTCATCTGTAAGATAAGGAGGCTAGGCCTCATTGGGTCTCTTCCTTACTGCTAAGTGAATTTAACATCTGCTTTTCCCATCCCTATCCAGGTGATTTATTTTAATCTGCACCTTTAATGTAGGAAGGGGCCATTGAGGTCATAGTGAAGTGGATAGAAGGAGGTACGATTGGCGTCAGGAGAAGTCCGGGTTCTACTTGCCCCTTCTGACGCTTCCTAGTTGTGAGGTGATGGTGTGACTTTGGTCAAGTCACTTGGCTTCTCTGGCCTCAGTTTCCTTATCTGTAAAATTGAACCAGATAGCCTTTGAGGTCACTTTGAACCCTAAATCTGTGATCCTAATACTCAACCTCTCCGAGCCTCAGTTTCCTTATCTGTAAAATTAGGACCAAAAAATTAGGGCCTGCAACCCTAACCACACGGGGTTGTTGTCAGATTTGGGTGAGCTGAGGTCTTAACGATTCTCTTGTCCAACCCCTAGCTGCTCTTGACTGTGAGGACAGAGGGGGAGGGGACAGTACATTTGCTCATAGGGTGGGCTGTGGGCACTTGGAATAACAGACAGGCAGACCAGGGTATAGTTTTATCTCTTATACCCTATGTTAGCGGCCCAGTGGATACAGCCCTGCACCTGACTTGGAGTCAGGAAGATCTGAGTTCAAATCCAGCCTCAGATATTAGCTGTATATTCCTAGGCAAGTCACATAATTGCTGCCTCAGTTTCCTCATCTGTAAAATGAGGATAATAATAACACCATCCTCCCAGAGTTATGAGGGTCAAATGAGATAATATTTTTAAAGTGCTCTGCAAACCTTAAAGCAGGACCTAAATTTGATTATGATCATGACCCAGCCAAACTGGCCTCCCATCTCAATGCCCCTGGCATAGCTGGAGACTCTGCCTTTACTCTGGCCATCCCTTGGGTCAAAAATTCATTTCCTTCCCCTCTTCCACTTTTCTCTGCATCCTTTAAAGTCCCTCTCAAATGCCACCCCAGTCAGGAAGCTGATCCTGACTATCCCCAGGCCAGATGATCAATCTTCCTTTTTAACCCTCTTTTAGCATTTTGTCTACCACACTTGCTAATAAATGCTTGTTGACTGACTGACGGGTGTGGATTGTGTGTGTGTGTGTGTGTGTGTGTGTGTGTGTGTTTGGGTCTTATCCTCTGATTTGCTAGACTGGGAGTTCCCTGAGGGCAGGGATCCAAGGCTCATCTATAGTTTGTGTTTAACCTAGCACTTCCCATAGTCCTTTGCACACAGTTGATGGTTAATATGTGTTGTATCTAATTGAATTTCCCCAGTGAAAGCGCTCTGGTAGCTGACTGGGCTTAGCTGTTGTCTGCCCCTAAGCTTCAGAGCTGTTGCTGGGGTCTCTGAAAACATGTTCTTTTTTTTTTTTTTTTTTTGAGGCAGTTGGGGTTAAGTGACTTGCCCAGGCTCACACAGCTAGTAAGTATCAAGTGTTTGGTCTGAGGCCGCATTTGAACTCAGGTCCTCCTGACTTCAGGGCCCCTGCTTGAAAACATGTTATCAAACTTGAGAACCTGGTCTCATGGGGTGGAACACTGGGCCCTTGTATATGCTGAAGACACTTCCTCATGCCAAGTCCCAGAGGTGCCCAAGGCTGAGAACCCACAGCTCCCCGAAAAAGGTGCTCAGGATGGGTCATTCCAAGGACCCCTCCCTACATTCCACCAATGCGAGGAGGCCCTGGAGCCCCTGGCAGACCCAGAAGCCGTGGCTACTTCCAGGAGACTGGGTGGTGGAGAGAATCTTTCCCGGGCCCTATCCTGCCACAGCTGGGCACCAGAGTCACCTGCCAGCAGCTGAGAAAGGACCCAGCCCGCGACCTGCTGCTGTTTGTTTCTTTATTTACACGTGTCTCTCACCAGAGACTGGAAGAACACAAACATTCAGGGCCAAGAAGGGTCCGGGCAGGGTAGGGGCTGGGGGCTGGATGGCCATGCACGGAACACTGGGTCTGTGGGCACACACACGTGTTGGGTGCCTGGCCTGAGAGCTCAGACCTGAGCGTGTGGATGGGGTGTTACTGGAGGCGGGGTGGGGGAAGCAGAAGAAGCAGGGCCTCACAGCACAGACGGCAAGGGCAGCATGCGAGAGATTTTGTCCTCAGACGTCAAGACCTATGCGGAGTGAGGAGCCTTCCCTCAACGACCTCCCAGGAAAGGAGGGAAGGCGTCGCAGTCAGCAAAGGATTTGTCTTTACCCCCTGCCAGGACTCCAAAGCCATTCTCTTTCCGTCCGTTTGTACCTCGCCCTCCCCCTTTCCTTTCCTGGGCTTTCTTCTGGGGTCGGGGTCGGGGTGGCATCAGCAGAGCTCGGGAGCTGGGGAAGGCTGCCCAGTGGTCGGACCCCACGGGTTGGGGCCGCACCTGCTGTGCTGGAGTTCTCTGCGCATCCCGTTCTCGAAGCCCACTTCCAAAATGCTCCGGGAACCTTCTCTACGGGTCAGTTCCCTCTTGCGGCCACCAGAGGGCGCGCCCCTCCAAAGCCACCTTAGCCCAGGTGCGGGGCTCAGGGCGCTATTTCCTATTAAGTGCTAACTGTAAACTTGATTTCCTCCCCCCACTACCCTGCTGGTCTGCTCAGGCCTTGGACAAACAAGGCTCAGATTCTCCTCCTGCGGCTTCTTCCTGGTGCACGGTTCCTTCCTTCCAACCGGAAAGCAGAAAAACCTGTTTCCCTGGTCCTTCACTCTCCTTCTTGGGCTCAGCAGGGCCTGGGAAACGAGCAGGGTCGTTGTTTCCCTGGAAGAGGACAAAGTTCCCTGGGAAGCTGCTCCCCCCACCCTCCTCCGCTCACTAAAGTCTCTGCCTCTCTGGCCCAACGCTGGTGCCGCCTCTCCCACGAAGCCTTCTGGATTCTCCCAGCTGCAAACATCCCCTCCCTTCTCGAATATTCCGAGATAGTTTGGTCTGCATTTCTCCTCGGCCCCATCAGCACGTCCATCGCGATCGACTGTGCCCGTGTGGTGACTTCCCTACCAGACTGTGAGTTCCTCGGGTTCACTTCGCGCCACACGAGGCGTACTGTAGACAACAGGCGCTTAATAAGTACTCGGTGAGCGGAGTTGACGGGGACCGACGGGCGACTGACGGGGCGGCTCTCTGACGTCGGGAAGCTGTGCGCACGCACAGGTGTCGGCCTGGCGGGGCCGGGTTGGTCCGGGCGTGGCCGGGCATCAACACTGCCGGGACGGGGTGCGGTGGACGGAGCCGGGGCGCTTGGGGATCTTCCGCCAGCGCCTCTTGTCCCAGCGGCACAGAAGCAGCAGGCGGAACGTGTCGCGGAAGGCCTTGTTGCAGAGCGCGTAGCACATGGGGTTGATGGTGCTGTTGACGTAGCAGAGCCAGTAGCCCAGCTCCCACAGGGTCTCGGGCACGCAATCGGTGCAGAAGGTGGACACCAGCACCATGATGTTGTACGGGCTCCAGGTGAGGATGAAGGCCAGGAGGATGGCGCTCAGGGTCCTGGCGGCCTTCTTCTCTTTGACCAGCGAGAAGGTCTTGCGCTTGTTCAGCTGCTCCTTTCCTTTCCTCTTCGGCTCCTTGCCCGCCCGCTCGCGGGCCTTCTTGGTGGGGCGCTTCACTGTCTGGGGGGACGCCCGCGGGGGCGGCTTGGCTGGAGCCTGGGCCTCTGGCCCCACCATGGGCATCCTGATGACCACCTCGAAGCCTGCCTCCTCTCCCTCGGAGGACGTCAGGGATTCCAGGTAGCCTTCGTCCTCCTCTTCTTCCTCTTCTTCCTTCCAGCTGTAGGAAGGCAGGAGCCGGGGCCCCCAGCAGCAGCAGCAGCAGCAGCAGCAGCAGCGCCTCGCCGCCACGTCAGGGGAGCCCTCGGGGCCCGGCTGGGACCGCTCCGAGCTGCTGCTGCTGCCCCCCCCGACGCCCTTCCCCGGCGTCTCAGAGCCCTGCAGCGCGGCCAGCTCCCTGGCCCTGTTCTCGGTCTCCCGGTAGATGCGCCAGTAAAGCACGCACATGACGGTGACGGGCAGGTAGAAAGCAGCCATGGCCGTCCCGAAGGTGATGATGGGCTCGGAGAGGAACTGAATGTAGCACTGGCCCGCCTTCACGGTGCGCTTGCCCACCAGGTACTGCCAGAAGAGAATGGCGGGGGCCCAGAGCACGAAGGACACCAGCCAGGCCAGGCCGATCATCAGCGCGGCTCGCCGAGGGGTCCTCTTGGCTCGGTAGCTGAGCGGCCTCGTGACGGAGAAGTAGCGGTCGAAGCTGATGAGCAGCAGGTTCATGACCGAGGCGTTGCTGGCCACGTAGTCCAGGGCCAGCCAGAGGTCGCAGGCCAGCGTGCCGAGGGCCCAGTGCCCCATGACCAGGTAGGTGGTGTAGAGGTTCATGGAGACCACGCCGATGATGAGGTCGGCGCACGCCAGGCTGAGCAGGAAGTAGTTGTTGACAGTCTTGAGCTCGCTGTTGACCTTGAAGGATACCAGCACCAGCAGGTTGCCGGTCACGGTGGCCAACGAGAGCAGGCCTGTGGTGAGGATGATGAAGGCCACCTGCCACGGGCCCTTCACCGGCTCCAGGACGGTGATGTTGGGGCTCACGGCGGGGGCCACGGAGACGTTCATGTCAGCAGCGCGCCGGGCTACATGGGAGACGCAGAGTGGGCGAGGGACAGGAGGGCCTTCCTCCCCTGGCTCAGGGGGCCGCCCCTTCCCTGGGCTCACGGTTCCCCGGGGCAGGGAGACCGCTCCTCGGCTCCCTCAGGCCAAGACCAGCACCTGAAAGAAAAGACACCGCCCCGTTCAACACCTCTAAAGGGCCCCAGTGGTGTGCTGGGCTGGGGGAGGGGGCACCAGGTTTGCCTGGAATGCCGAGGGGTGAAATAATGGGAAGTCCTCTGGTCCCGAAGGTAGGTGATCTAGGTCGAAATCCAGCTTTGACACTTCTTAGCTGTATGACCGTGGGAGAACCACTTAGCTTCTCTCTGCCTCAACATGCTCATGTGTAAAATGGGCACACCAACCAAAGAACTGACAAGTTTCTGTAAGGTCGTCTAAACTGGGCCCTCATTGCTGCCAGGTAATCCTTTAATGTCTCCTCAGCTGATTCCCTCTCCCACTCACCACAGTGACTCTCCTGAACCTTTTCCTCCCTCCTCAACCTCCCATGGCTCCCTCCCCCCCCCTTCGGCCCAGCACCTTTCCCCCCCGTTCCCTCACCAAAGCGACACCCTCCCCATTCTATCCATCTCCTCCACCAGACCACCCCCCCGCCTTCCCCTCTCTCCCCCCCCGCCCCCTTCCCCCTTCCCCACCGCCCCCTTGGGCCAAGAACTTTTCCTCCTAGTTCACTGACAAAAGAGAGACCCTTCCCATTCTATCCATCTCCTCCAGCAGACTACCCCCCCGTCATCCCCACTCTCTCCCTTAGCTTCCTTTCCCCTTCCCCACTGCCTACAAACATGCCCTTCTCTCTCCTGCATCCTCCTCAAAACCCCCTGTCTCCTGTCTTGATCCATCTGTCTTGATCTCTCCCATCCCACATCTCCCCTCCCTTTCGAGACCCAACTTGAAAAGCCTGAGTCTGCACCTGATGGATGCCTCCCCTTCCTCTCTTCTCAGTCTCTTCTCAGTCTCTACCGTCCGGCTTCCCACCTCATCATTCAGAAGAAACTTCTCTCTCCAATGTGACAAATGATCTCCTAAGTGCCCAATCTAGTGTCCTCTTCTCAATTTTCATTCTTAGGATCTCTCAGCAGCCTTAGACAAAGTCTATCACCACCTTTCCTCTAACAATCTAGATTTCCATGACAATACTCTTTCCTGGTTCCTCTGTCTCCTTTGCTGGATCTTCATGGAGCTCACACTTGTTAACCATAGGTGTCCCCCGAGGCCTGACTTGGGCCCTTCTTCTCGTTTCTCTCTATACTGTCTTTTTTTTTTCTTTTTCTTTTTGGTGAGGCAATGGGGTTAAGTGACTTGCCCAGGGTCACACAGCTAGTAAGTGTCAAGTGCCTGAGGTCAGATTTGAACTCAGATAGGTCCTCCTATCTCCAAGGCTGGAGCTCTATCCACTGCACCACCTAGCTGCCCCTTCTATACTGTTTTAATTGGTGATCTCATCAGCTCCCATAGATTAAACGATCATCTCTAAGCATATGATTCTGAGGTCACAGGGCCAGCCCTAACCTCTGTCCTGACCGACTAATCTAAGCCATCAGAATGTAAACTCCTTGAGGGCAAACACTAGCTTTTGCCATTTTTGGTATCCCCAGCACTTAGCACAGTGTTGGGCACAAGGGTAGGTGCTAAATGAATGCTTATTGACCAATCAACTCTAACCCTAATTCTGTGCCTGTTACATGTCTGTCTGCACTACAATCCCTTGGCTGTCAAACCGATTTCCCAACGTGTAGATCTGACCCGGCGCCTCCCCCTGCTCAATAAACTCTGGGACCTCTAGGATTCAGAATAAAATCCTTTTTGGATTTTAAAACCTTTCATTACCTGGCTCCTCCTACCTTTCCAGTCTCTTCACACATTCCTCCCCTCCATGGAATCTTCAGTCCAGGAACACTGTTGCTCACACCTAACACTCCATCTGCCAATTTGGAGAGTTTTCAGTGGCTCACCTCGATTCTCTGAATGCTCTCCCTCCTCATCTTGGCCTCCTGGCTTCCCTCAGATCTCAGCTAAAGTCCCACCTTCTGGAAGCAGCTTTCCCAGCCCTCCTTAAACTTCATGCCTTGTGAGCTCCGTAACAATTCAGACTGGGATTTTTTTTTTTTTTTGCCTTTCTTTGTATCCCCAGCCCTTAGCATAGCGCCTGGCACACAGTAGGGGCTTAATACATCCTAGCTGACTGACCGTGATGGTTGTCATGGAAACATTCCTAGCCTGAGAGTAAGGAGATCTCTTGAGTCTGGGTCAAGCCAGTTTGCTAAGTAACCCTGGGCAAGCCATTTCCCTTTTCCATCTTTCAATTCCTTCTTCTCTAAAACAGGGGGATTGGACCAGGTCCCCGAGCTCTCTGCTGGTTCTGACAGCCTGTGTTCTTAGGTCACTTTTCATTTTGAACGTCCTCTGTTCCATTATCCCGGTTTCTGACATCTTGTCACTGTCTGAAGGACACTTCCAGCTCAGACATTCTGTGTCCTTGAATCCCTTCCAATTCTGGCATTCTATGCTTTATGTTACCTTCCTGCTCTGACATTCCATTTTCTAAGGCCAAGTCTGAGTGACCATGTACCACCGCACCCCAGGCATTGTGTAGAGAGGAATCTTGTTCATGGTGGGTTTGACTCAGTGGGCTCTATGGTCCCTTCCTTGTCAAGGATTCCACATCTATCTCTGCTCCCTCAACCCTTTGCTCATGATTCCCCCTCTCCTTTCCCGATGGAGTATGGAGGCAGGACAAACCAATGATAACCTTGGGCCAGGGCTGCCCTAGAGGGCAACCCTATGTGGGATCATCTGCAGCCTCCTTGCTTCTCTGAACTCTGCTGTGCCCCCTCTTTTAGGGCAGGAGGTAGGGGAAGAGGGGCTGGGAGAAGGGCCACTGGCTGGGCACATGCAGAGGGAGGTTAAGGGGCTTGTCCTTTCCCCCTGGACCAGTGGAGCCAGAGACTGGCATTGGGAGGGCAAAGGGCAAAAAGAGGCTGGTGGAGACGGGAAACAGGAAGAAGATCTGAGGGGCAGGAGCAATTGAGGGAGATTTTGAGAGGAACAGGACAGATTGAGGGAAGTTAAGTGGGGCAGCATGCAGAATCTCCAGATAGCATGCCTTCTTTTTTGAGCTCCGGGGCCCTATTTTGGGGAGTGTGAGGAGCTGTGTATCCTTAGACCAACAACCTAATCAGATTATTTGTTATGTCCTTCCAGCCTTCAGGGGGGCCGGGCCATGAAGAGTGTAAACCTGAAAGGAAGAGAAAGACAGAGGCCAGAGAGGCAGAGAATGAGGGAGGAGCTGGAGATCAAGGAGGAACAGAGGTGGTTAGAAGGAGGTGTGAGAAGGTGTTTAAGAACTACTCAAGTACTGAGGCCACTGGAAGAGCAATGCCACTCCTGAGGAGGCCAGCAGGACCTGGGTTTAAATCCCACCTCTGACACTGGTGCCTCAGTTTCCTCATCTGTAAAATGGGGGTCATAATAGTGATAGCATTTAGTTCACAAGGTTGTATGATGGACCAACTGAGGGGCCTTAGAACAGGGAATATCAGAGCTTGGAGGGACCTTAAGATAACTTGGTCATTTTACAGATGGTGACAGAGCTCCAGAAAGGTGACTGTGGAGCCCCCCACCCTTGAGGTATGTCCATGAGCATTTGGGGATAAGGAGAGATTATGCTAAGGAATCAGAAAATTCTGGGAAGAGACTTACCCAGGGTCACACAGCTAGTTAGTGTCCTTAATTCCAGTCTACTCTTCCAAAAATTAGCCCTAGGGGATAGGCGCTTCCAACCACCACCAATGGCTGAATGGAGCAGAATCCCACCTGCCTTTCCCCTTAGCCTTTGGGAACTGGGTTGTTCAGGCCCTTTCCCCTGCTCTGTCCAGGCCTTCAAAGGGGTTCCACTTGTTGGATTGTAACTGGAACCCTCTAGCAAAGGAGGAATTCTATCTTGGAAATAGGTCTACACACCTCATGCTCAAGAGTGGGCCTGGGGTGGGGGTGGGTAGCTAGGTGGTGCAGTGGATAGGGCTCCAGCCTTGGAGTCAGGAGGACCTGAGTTCAAATCCAGCCTCAGACACTGGACACTTACTAGCTGTGTGACCCTGGGCAAGTCACTTAACCCTGATTGCCTCACCAAAAAGCAAAAAAAAAAAAAAAAAAAAAAAAAAAGAGTGGGCCAGGACTGGGAGTCAATACAGCCCTTTGACTCTTGTCAGACTGTGTGCTTTAGCGTCTTCTCCCGGAGAGAGCTGGCGCCATGGAGGAGCTGCATGGGTGCTCCAGGTGAGGGAAGGCCTTTATCTAAGGCTAGGGATGAGACTGCCCCTGAGTTTTGGTTTTTGAGAGAGAATAAAGCAGCTTTATCCACTATAGGACTTGGAGTTAGGAACACCTGAGTTCCAATCTGGCCTCAGACACTATTAGCTGTGTGATCTTGGCCCCTGTCCCTTTGCCTTGCTCTGCCTCAGTTTCCTTATCTGTAAAATACCTCCCAGGTTTACACTACCTCCCAGGGTTGTTGAGAGGATCAAATGAGATTATATATGTAAGGCATTTTACAAAACTAATAATAATAATAACAATAGCATTTATATAGCCATTATTATTATTATTATTGTTATTTTACAGATCTTGGTTTAGGGGCTGGCTTCCTCTGCCAGCATCTTTCTAACTTACAGGAAAGAAAATGGAAGCGTGATGGGTCAGGGCTGGGGGTGGGAGCCCCCGTTTCCTCCTTTGTCCACAATCGAGTGTCGATTGTGACCCAGGTGGCTTCTTCATCCTTTGAACTTTCGGGGATGTAGTCCATGTTCCCCCTCCCCTCCCTCCAAGCTGTGGGGGGGCCTAAGGACAAGAGATCAGTCTTGCGCCATAGCTGGCTTTGGGGTCAGAAGGACTTTGTTTAGATTTCAGCTCTGTACTTACTACTATGTGACTTTGGACCTGTCCTTTTCTCCCTTTGTGCCTCAGTTTCCTCTTCTGTAAAATGAGGGGCTTGGACGACCTGGAAGATCCCTCTGGGCTCTAAATCTATGGTCCTGTATAAGATGAGTTATACTGGGAGGTCTCTTCCACCTTGAAATTCTGTGATTCTAGCCCAGTTTTCCTTTAGGAACCGGAAGGTCAGCAGTTGGGAAGGTTCTGAACAAAGCTGGAGAGAAAGGGGAAGAACGTGAGGGCTGGGGGAGAGGCACCCCTCTGTGCCTCAGTTTCCTCTTCTGTAAAATCAGGGGGTTGGATTGAATGGCCTCTAAGGGCCCTTCTGGCTGGAGAGCTATGACCCTTTGACTGAGCTCAGCTAGTGGCCTTTGCTCACGCCATTCCTCCCACCTGGAGTGCCCTCTGGCCACCCCAGGCAGCCTTTAAAGCCTAACTCCAACACCACCTTCCCCAGGAAGCTTTCCCCGACCCCCTCAGGCCTGCATGGCATTCCCTCTCACCTCTCACTAAGCTTTGTTTGTAACCGGCTCAGGGTGCAAAATGTGCTTTAAAGTGATCTGTGGGGCCGTCTCATCTCCTTAAGAGGTTCACAGACTGACCTCAGAAGCCCTCTAGTTCAGCTCCCTCATTTTACAGATGAGGAGACTGAGGCCCAGAGATTAAGTGACTTCCCCTGCTCTTCTAGTCCCAGAGCTCACGCCCTTGAGCTCCATTTGTTATCTAGACCTCGTAGCTCACACACAGTAGGAGCCGTGTCAATCTTTGTTAAATGAATGGAGGAAGGGGAGGGACTGAATCCAAGAGAATTTCCTGGGAAGCATCTCCCCCTTCACCAGCCTCCTCCCTGTGCCCTTCCCCTCAGCTCTCTCCCACACTGGGGGGTCCTGAGGGAAGCCTTCCCTGGTCCGTCAGTCCCACTTGGCTCAGATCTCCATCGTCCAAGTGCTAGTTCTAGGGTCTCCTGGGCTCTGCTCTGAATTTCCCCATGTGGGTCTTGTCTTTCTCCTCCTGGGGAATGAAGGCAAGGCAAGGGGTCATAGCTTCTCTGCCTTTCCCTTGCCCCTCTGCTGATGGTTCAGTGTAGCTGCGGCCTGATGGAGCGGCTAAGGGAGTAAGAGGCAGTATGGTGGACAGACAAGTGTGGCCTGGATTTGGGGTCAAGACCTGGGTTCAAATTCTGGCTCTGTTCCTTGATACTGTGTAACTTGAAACAAGTCATTTAACTGTTCTTGGCCTCACTTTCCTCAGCTATAAAACGAATGGGTTGGACCAGTAATTTCTAAGGTCCCTTCCATGTTCCAAATCTATCACTCTTGGGGAGTAAGTTTTCTGAATTGGCTGGAAGACTGAGTGAGGGGGCTTGAGCTAGGATCAGCTGCCCACTCTGCTACACCAGGAAAAGAAGGCGGGTGGCAGTCCAGGAAGGGAAGGGCCTTGCCCAGGCTGCACAGATTGGCATAAGGAGCCTGAGGGATGAGACAGAGACTCCAGGCAGGAAGGAGCCTCCCCTAGGGAAGGGCTGGGCTTGATACAGGCAAGGCAATGTTAATAACTTCTCCTTTCTCCCAACTCCCCTGCCTGCCCCCAATATTATGGATCCTAGTCTGAATTATTCTGCCCCAGAGAAGCTTCCATTAATACCAGGCTGGAATCTTAAGCCATCCCCCAGAGGAAGCAGTACAATGAATGATGAGCACAGAACAATTCTATTTTGGAGTCCTTTGATCATCAGACCTGGAAGGATTTTAGAACATGGAACGTCAGGGTGGGGAAGGTCCTTAGTTAGAACATGATAAAACAGAGAACATGAGAGCTGCATGGGACCTTAGAACGCAGAACAGAAAACATCAGAGCTGGAAGGGACCTTGGAACAGAGACTAGAAAATGTCAGAGCTGGAAGGGACCTTAGAACGCAGAACAGAAAACATCAGAGCTGGAAGGGACCTTAGAACGCAGAACAGAGAATGTCAGAGCGGGAAGGGACCTTCCATTAGAGAAAGTTAGAGGTGAGAAGGACATTAGAGCTAGCCTTAAGAGGGGTTTTAGTTGGTCATTAGGAGACTCCCAGGGACCAGGACAGAAAGGAAAGGAAACAACCACCTGCTATGAGCCAGGCACTGATTTGATCTCATTTGGTCCTCAACACAATCCTGGAAGTCGGTGCTATCATGATCCCCATTTCACACTTGAGACAGGCAGAATGGTTAAGTAACTCACCCAGGGTCACAGCTAGTAAGTCTCTGAGGCCAGAGCTAGCCACCGGGCCACCTGGCTGTCTTTGATAGGAGCTTGGTTGAAGGGTGGGCTCTTTGGGAGTAGGGTCTGATGGACAGACAATGGATTTTAGTCTCAGGTCTGACATTCGAATCTATCTCACCAGGTTAAAAAAGAAGCCTGAAGCACCCACATGTAACAGATTAAGGGAAAAGTTTCTGTTAAGGGAGAAAAGAGAGCCAGGTGAAGCATCCATGGGATTGGAGGATTTTGCACAAATGAGGGAGATTTCAACAGTCAATTCATATCTCTCAGAATCTGTAAAATGCCTGGAAACCTCTGGTGGGCAAGGCCAGCCTCTCGCACCAAACCTGGTTTCACCATCTACAGTGAATGCTATGCAGAGAAATTCCGGGAGAAATCTCTGGGAGATGGTAGCTAGAGAAATGCCCTCCATTAGCCTCAGTTTCCCAATTTGTCAAGTAGGGACAAAGATCCTTGCACTCCCAGGGTTATTGTGAAGAAAGCACCATAAAGATCCAAATATCATTATTCCAATTAGAAAACAAACAATGGGGATCAGAGACTCCCAGAACGTGCGCACTCCCTAGAACATTCTGTCAGATGTCCTGTCCATTCTCTTTCTTCCCTTGACTTGTATTTGCCCAGCACATCTGTCCCCCTCCCCCAGCTTCCTGAGGACAAGGCTTGTTTAAATTTTTGGTCTGTGCACCATCAGGGCAGGTAATAGTCTTTGTGAGTGTCAAGGACCTGACAAAAGTTTATCAATTTGAGTTTTGCTTGAGGGGCGATCCTTTCTCTGCTCCAAGATTCAGTTTCCTCATCTGTCAAATGGGGATAACAATCTCTGCTATACCTCTCTCTTAGAGAAGATCCTGTGTGTGTGTGTGTGTGTGTGTGTGTGAAAGCTAGGGCCATCTCCTACTTAGCTGATAACGACCACAAGCATCTTCCTGGTCTGCTCCTTCTTCCCCTCCCTGTCTTCCCTTTCCTCATCTCTCTTCTCTCCCACCCTCTTCTTTCTCCTCTCTCTCCCTCCCTTCAACCCCCTCCGCCCCCCGCATTTCTGTGTCGCCCATCACCATGGTACCCACTGCAGAACAGAAGCTGTGCTGGCTTCACCAACTTCTTTCCGCAGGGCTCACTCTCCACCCATTTGGGAGACATTCAGCCTCCTAGTTCTTGGCCTTCCCCTTTCCTGTCCCCAAGACTGCCTGGGATCCACAGGTTCTCTCTGAACCAGGAATCTTGCCTTTTCCCTCCTTCTACCTGGCCTGACTCTTTCCAATTCAGGGCACCTTCACCCTTCTCTCAGAGCCGGGTGTGCCTTGGCTGGGACCCCAGTCCATCTATCTCCCCACTCTGATGAGTTTTAGCAGGAAACTGAGCCCTCCCTCCCCACCCGTGCCAGGTGGACGTGATAAGGGGAGAAGATAAGGAAGGGGAAATGGCCCCAGAGGACCCAGCTCCAGATGGATGGGGGAGACAGAGGTAGCCAAGTGACTAACCTTTAGAGCAGGTGTGCAGGAGGATCCATGTCATGTGGGGCTAGCAGAGCTGTTTACTCGGGAGGGGGAGGCTTCTAGAGGGGCAAGCCTGCCACAAACTCAGTCCCTGAGTTTCCTGAAGTTTTGGAGGAAGCTGTTAAAAAGGGGCAATGTCTTCATGCCACTGGGTGGTACTGATTCTGCAGTGAACAGAGGGGGTGTGTGTGTGTGTGTGTGTGGGTGTATGTGCGAGCTGTCCATTTTCCCAGGGTCTGGCCTGCACATCTGTGGACCTCCTTTCGATGGGATGATGACAGCTTACGCGTGTCCTGAGCCCACATGGGACTTGGAAGTGTGAGCCACCTTCTTACAGGGATGCCCAAGGTCATGGACCCCAGACACAGAAAGGAATTGAGAGTATAGGGTTTGGAGTCAGAAGGGGTGGCTGGCTCTTCCAAATTCTGACTTTGCTAATGTGTGTGACCTTGGGCTAATGCCTTTCCCCTCCTTGGCCACTATTATCTCCTCTGTAAAATAAGGAGTTTGAATGAAATGGTGTTTGAGTTTCCTCCCTGTTCTAGGTCCCAGGAAATGACCTCCCAGAGGGGAGCCCCCCATCGCAGGGTGCCAGGTATGTATTCGTGAAGCTGCCCGAGCTGGGCCATGCCAGGCCGTGGAGCTCTAGGTAAAGTCTCTGCCCTCTCGGCCACTTGCCCTGCACCGTCCCAGATTCAATCCTTGGAGCCTGACAGGGCCAGATCTTACACCCACCTTGAGGTTTGGTCCATCCTGGCGGGGGCCACAGGCAGGCGGGGTTAGCTTGACACAAGGAACCCTAGGAGATGGAAGGAGTTAGGTTCCTGGGGCCAAGAGGAGCCACCCCTTGGCATACAAGGCACTGGCACCACTTGATAACCCCAGACGAGGCAACACCCTCCTGGACAGGTCACCTGGCAGCTGCCAGGTGACAGCCACCATCTGGCTTTGCAGACCCTTATGTCTTGCCCTCCTCCCTTGTCCCTCGAAGTAATTCCCTGCCCTCTGGAGCACCTGCTGTTGCATTAGGGCTACTCTTATAGGATCATCGGATTTAGGGCTGGAAGTCACCCGGGAAGTAGGTAGGTAGTGTAATCCAAATCCATTCATTTTACAGAGCAGGAAAACGGGGCTCAGAAAGGTTAAGGGTCATGCCCAGGGTTATGGCAGAGCCAGGATCTTTTAAACCCAGAGACCTTCAACCTGCCCAAGCCCACACCACCATCCCTTGCTCTGCCCCTCCCCCTCTCCAGCAATCCCCAAACCCAGCCTTTCTCAGCGTTCCCTAAAAACATCTGATTCATACTCTTTGAGATGGGGGGGGTAGGGAGAAGGGTTAGGAGTCGAGAACATATTCATTATCCCTTCCCCCTCCGTTTCCTAGCAGTTACATCCCACGGGCCCCCAAACCTAGACCTATGTTCCCTTCCAGAGTCCAGGTGTCCTCTCTCCCCCCCAGACCCCCCCCCCCACCCCCGGCTCCCCAGTGCCCGGAGTCCCTATTCTTCCCCCTCCCCTCTCCAATCATGCTGAGACAGCTACTCACCATGGAGGTGTGCGTGGGAGCAGGGGTCTGCCGGGGTCTCCAGTCCCACTCCCTCCCCAGGGGGACCGCGTCCTCTCGAGGGACCAGGACACTTGGCTCCCCCGGGGAGCTTCGTCCTGTGCTGGCAGCAGGAGAAGAACGGTTGTTGATTGGCATGTCCCACCCCCTGGCACGACAGCCCCTGGGGAGGGAGGAAAGAGGGAAGGAAGGAGGGAGGGAGGAACAGAGGGAGGGAAGGAGGGTGGAGCTGGGAGGGAGGGTAGAGAGAGCTCTGAGCTTGAGGTGGCCCTGCAGGGCAAATCTGAGCACCCCCGACCTTGGGCAAGGGGGGCTGGGACAGGAAGGGGGCAGGGCTCTGGGGGGTGGCGGAGGCAAAAGCAAAGGGCTCCAGGATGCATAAGAAGAGGAGAGAAGGAGGATACGGGAGAGAGACAAACACCCACACCCACAGACTGCACACAGATTCGAAGACAGAGAATCTCACCCCTATATATATATACACACAATCACATACACACACGTAGAATCTCTTTCGAACAGCTCTGTGAGATCACAGCCACACAAACACACAACTAGGGTCATACAAAGTCGCACTGTGTGTGTGTGTGTGTGTGTGTGTGTGAAGAGGGCCGCCCCCCCCCCCCCCCGCCCCCCACTCTGTGCACTCCCCAAACATGCTCCAAGCCACGGCTCGCATGGGACACGGCACTGAGGAGCACGTCTGCCACCTGTACATGGGTGCCTGCTGCACATGGCTCTGCTTTCCCTCCCTCATGCAGGTACACGAGATCCCCCTGTCGTCCCCTCCCCCCTCCGCCGCCCACACTGCCACCCTCCCACACAACCATACTCCGGGGCTCTCTGTTCTTCTTCCCCGTCTGTTTGGAAATGACACATTCGTCCTCACGTGAGAATCTCTAGCCTGGAGCAGACCCGAGGGCTGTGTGGGCCCGCCAAGACGTGCGCTTCTGTGGGCTCCCGGGGTGGCTGGGCGAGCTTGTGTGCGCGCCCCTGTCTTGTGGGCCTGAGTTCCCAGTGTCTGCGTGTACGAGGCGCTTGCTAATTCAGGCCCTTTCCCCCTCCTTGCTCCGCCCCCAACTTTCACTTGGAGAGACAGACAGACAGGCAGACAGACAGCTCTCCGCCCTGCCTGTCAAATTGTGTCTCCCTCCACTCCCACGCAAGGTTCACAACATACCTGGAGATGGCAAACCTCTCCCCTCCTCCCGACCTCACTGCGACGGAGCTCAGCCTTTCCCCCCTCGCTTCTGCCCCTGGTGCCTCTAGCCCCCACCCCCTTCTATTTCCCTGGCTCCCTCTGGGGTCCCCGAGGCCCTGCTCCAGCCAGGGGCCCGGAGCTGTCCACTCGGAGGCTTAGAGCAATGAGCCACATCGCCGCAGGGGACGGTGGGGATTTCTAGCTGGTGCCCAGGTGGTCCCCAAGGAAGCAGGGGCCCAGTCTGGTTCTTTTTGTCCTCTCTGTCCTCCTCCAGGTATGCTATCTGGGCACTCGCCCCTCTCCACTCCCCCATCTAGTTGCTGGGTTTGTGTGTTCGGAGTTTCCCCAGAAACAGAACCTCCCTGGGAGCCCTTTGCTATGGAGACCTGGGCCCTATCCCTGCCCTTAGGCCCTGTGGACCTCCTGGAGAGCCTAGGAACAAAGACTGAACCCCTGCCCCCCTCCCACAAGAGGTCAGTTGTGTCCACCTCCCGCTGGGTTGCAGGGAACTGACTGAGGAGTGTGGATGGTGGGGAGGGAGCCTTCTCAAGGTAAGACTGGGGGACTTCTCAGAGGATCCCAGGATTGAGAGCTGCCCGGATGTGCCCATGCAAAACAGCTTCCCTTCTCAGGGTTTTGGTGTCTGACGATACAGCTCCCAAGCACTCCCTCTGGTCCATGCCTTTATGCTGATGCCCAGGATGCTCCCCCTCCCCTTTTTGGCTTTGAATCCCTGGCTTTCTCCCAGGCTCAACTCAAATGCCATGTTCCGTGGGAGCCTTCCCCTTCTAGCATGACCTTCCCTCCACTCCCTGCATGGCTGGGGAAGATCCTACTTATGCACGTGTCGATGCCCCCAGAAGAATGTGAGCTCCACGAGGGCATCGACTGATTCTGTCTTTGTATTCTGAGTGCTTCAGGAACAGGGCCTGGCACACAGTAATTGCTTAAGAATTTCTTGTTGATTGAGTGATTCAGGAAATAAAATGGGAGCACTCACCTGGGGCCACAAAGGCAGAACTGGAAGAAACATAGAATGTCAGAGATGGGAGGGCCCTTAGAGCCTCAGGGACCATAATACATAGAATATCAGAGCCTGGAGGGAGCTTAGCACACAAAATGTCGGAGCTACAAGGGTCCTTAGAATGTAGAAAATAGACTGTCAGAACACGGAATGTCAGAGTGTAAGTGAACTTCAGATCACAAAATGTTAGAGATGAACTAAACCTTGGAACATGGAATGTCAGGGCTAGGAGGGCCCTGAGAACATGGAACATTAGAGTGTAAATGAACTTTAGATCATAAAATGTTAGAGATGAACTAAACCTTGGAACATGGAATGTCAGGGCTGGGAGGGCCCTGAGAACATGGAATGTCAGAGTGTAAATGAACTTTAGATCACAAAATGTTAGAGATGAACTTGGAACATGTAATGTCAGGGCTGGGAGGTCCCTGAGAACTTGGGATGTCAGAGTTGGGAGGGACCTGAGAACATGGGATGTCAGAGTTTGGGATATGGTGTAGCCAATCCTTTCATCTTACAGTCCAGGAACATATGCCCCTGGGAGAGGACATGAGTGGCTCATTGGTTCACAGGGAGGTCAGCTGCAGAGCCCCTGAGGCTGGGAATTGAATTCTAAGTAGAGCTGCCCCTGGATGTTGAGGAGATGGGATTCTCTATCGGGGTGGGGAACCTTTGGCCTTACAGCCACATGTGGCCTTCTAAATCCTTAAGTGTGGCCTTTGGCCAAATCCAAACGTTCTCCTTCCGTCTAGATCCTTAGACCTGTATTCCTCTGAGACTGGCTGCCACTCAGGACTGCCCTAGGGTGTGGTTCCCAAGGTGCCCAGTGCCAGCTGCAGCCAGGACCTGGTGGAGGTGCACATATGGGTCCCGGCAGCAATGGAAGTCAGGAGGCCTGGGAACTGAGTGATGTAGTCTTGGATTCAGTGGAAGGGAGGGGACCCCTTGGGTCTGCCAAGTTTCTTGTGACCTCCCTGCCCTCCCTACCATCCTCTTTTTTTTGAGGTCCCTGGTGTATACCACCATCTGGAATGCATGAATCAGAGTGGCGGCTGTGGGTCCTTTATGATGGTCGTCTGGGTGTACGCAGCAAGTGGGGCTGGGGTGGACCTAGCCCTTCCTGAGAATACTTCTCCATCCATTTCCACAGCTGGGCAAGGGTGCCTTTTCCCTCTGTCCTCTCTTATCCTCTCTAAAGGATGACAGATGTTTCTCTTTAACCTCTACTTTGGGGGTGGGAGCAAAGGCTTTCTCTCTCCCATCAGCAGGCTATTCAGGGATCATAGGATTGGGGGGTGGGGAGGGAGAAAGCTCTAGAGACATTCCTGTCACAGCTGGCTTAGCACAACTCTTAAGTGACTTGAACCCCAGTGCTCTGGCACCAGAGGGGCTGGAACTGTTGCTTTCTGCTACCTCTCTGGAGCCCATGCCAGCCTGGCCAGGCCAGCACCGTCTGAGCCAATAAGCATTTAGGAAGCACCTGCCATGTGCCAGGCATTGTGCCACATGCTAGGGAGGCACAGACAGAAGGATGAAGGGTCCCTGCCTTCCAGGAGTTTACATTCCACGGGAGGGATACAACATGGAAAAGGAGAAGTAAATACAAGGTGCTTGGAAGGGGAGAGAGAGGGAACTACCAGCCAACGGGAACAGGCAAGTCCTGCCCGTGGCAGGCAGCCTAGGAGCTGAGCCTTGGGGGAAGCAGGGCCCTGATTCTTACAGCAGCCTGGGAAGCCCTCCATGTCCAGTTGGCCCTGAACAAGACACAGGCTCTTCAGGTCCCTGGGTGTGTGACCTTGGGTGAGGCTGGCCTTCACTTCCCTGGAGCCTGTCAAACCAGGGGGATGGATTAGATGCTCTCCAAGCCTTCCTTCCAATGCTGCCATTTTTGGGGGCCGTGGGGTGGTGGCACCATCGGCAGTGGCCCCAAGAGTTTGCCTCTTTTACAGATGGGGACACTGAGCCAGGGGACATGACTGAGGCCTGGGATGGAAGCTTGAGGGTCAGCAGGCATGTGGGTGGTTCCGAGGTCCCATCCTCACTGCCGAGCTCAAGCACTGGTCCTGCTGCCCTCCCTAGTCGAACCTCCCCCGCACCCTCGCCAGATTTAGCTGGGAGGGAGGGAGGTTGGGAACAGTTTTTTTTTTAAATTTTTTTTTTTATTTTAAGCAGCCTGGAGCGCAGCACGAATGAATTTCTGCACCACAAAAGGATCCCAGAAGAGGCTGCGCAGGTGCAGATTGGGGGCGGTGGTAGAGAAGAGAGTGGCCAAGCCCTCGGCCCTGTCCAGTTCAGTTTCTAACCTCTCTGCCCTTACAGGCTCCTACTAGCTTAGGCTGACCCTGGTCCCCAGCTCCTGGAGCCTCCCCCATCCCTATGCCAGGCTCACTCTTTTCCCCTCTCCCATCACCTTGGATGGGGCCTTTCAAAGGTGCTCAGAAAGCTTTAGAGTCAGGCTAGCCAATCTAAGCTCCCATTGGCATATTGGGAAACTGAGGCTCAGAGACAGGAAGGGACTGGCTTGAGATTACACAGCTAATTAAGTCACAGACCTGGACCCTGGACACTTAGATCTTCTGGCTCTCAGGATTCTGAAGGATGCTAAGAAAGCAGCACTTTCTCCCCACCCCCTGTCTCCCCGCCTCCCCCAGTCCCCGGGGAGGCTTTCTTTGGTGGGGAGGCAGGCTTCTGGGTCAGTACCTACAAGAGCAGTCCAGACCCATGATTTCATCCGAGTAGACTTTGCATGGAAACCCCCACCACTGATGACCACTGACAACTTGTTGGCAAAGCCCAGCCTTAGACAGCTACCTGGGGGCACAGAGAGGCTAATCAACTCTACCCGAGTCACACAGCCTGTATGGGTCAGAGGAAGGACCTTGGATCCGGGTCCTTCCTGACTTCAAGGCTCTGCCTCCCTCTTCCAGCAGCCACTTTGAGAACAAATGCATTGCTCTCCAGTCACTCACTCTCTCCCGCTCACATCATTGAAACCAGCAATT